AAAATTTTCAGGGACTTCCCTGGTGGTGCAGAGGTTAAGAATCCGCCTGCCAATGCAGGGGACATGGGTTCGAGCCCTGGTCCAGGAAGATCCCACGTGCCACGGAGCAACTAAGCCTGTGTATCACAACTACTGAGCCTGTGCTTTAGAGCCTGTGAGCCACAACTACGGAGCCTGCATGCAACAACTACTGAAACCTGCGCACCTAGAGCCCATGCTCCACAACAGGAGACGCCACTGCAATGAGAAGCCCATGCACCACAACAAAGAGTAGCCCTTGCTTGCCGCAACTACAGAAAGCCTGAGAGCGGCAACAAAGACCCAACGCAGACAAAAATAAAATTAATTAATTAATTTAAAAAAACATAGTGATTGGTCAGGGACCTATACTCAATATTTTGTAATAACCTATATGTGAAAAGAATCTACAAAAGAATATATATATGTGCGTGTGTGTGTGTGTGTGTGTGTGTGTGTGTTTGTAACTGAATCACTTTGCTGTAAACCTGAAATTAACACATTATAAATCAACCATACTTCAATAAATATAAATATTAAAAAAAAGACAGTGATTGGTGCAGAACAGACTGGTCAGACAACCTGGGGAGATACTGGGCCACACTTCATGGAGGTCCTTAGCTTAAATACTTATGACCTTATTAATGTTACTAGCTGTATTCTTGTATTCTGCCTATTTTACAAGATTATTATTTCTTGCATTACCAAATATGTGACTGAGCCTCAGGTAAAATTAATGATGCCTAAGTGACCTGAGATGATTGACCAAATATATAGTCCTATAAGACCAATGATTGTAATAGTGTAACTCTAGATGCGGGAAGAAGCAACAAGAGGGAGCCATTTCCTGGACCATAACAGACTAGTAAGACAGGCAATCCAGAGACTTTTGGCTGCTGTTAACAGGGCCTAGTCCAGCAATAGCACTGAGTGGCCTATCAATGAAATCCTTGCTGACCTGGGAATGAGCATTCCTAGTGCTCTGGAACAAATTGGTCACCAAATGCCTCCCAAACCTTGGTCGAAATTAAGACCGAAAGGGAAGTGATCGATAAACAAAGAATGTTGAGACCTCCCTGGTGGTCCACTGGTTAGGACTCCACGCTCCCAATGCAGAGGGTCTGGCTTCGATCCCTGGTCGGGGAAATAAGATCCCACATACTGCAACTAAGGCTTCGCCCTGCAACTACTGAGCCCACTCTCTGCGTGCCGCAACTAGAGAACCTGCATGCTGCCAGGAAGACCCAGTGCAGCCAAAATAAAAAAAAAGAAAGAAAGAAAGAAAGAAGAAAGGAAGGAAGGAAGGAAGGAAGGAAGGAAGGAAGGAAGGAAGGAAG